GTGTGTGTGTGTGTGTGTGTGTGTGTGTGTGTGTGTGTGTGTGTGTGTATGGGTGAGCTTAGGTGTGCACTCGTGGGGGGTTGTGCGTACAGAGTGGAGTCTGCCGGAGCTCGAGGTGTGGACAAGAGTGGGGGAGGGGCCGGGGCAGCTCAGGTGAGGCAGCTCTCGCTCAATTACTCCTGGCACGACAGGAGGGGGCGATGGCTCACAACAGTTGGACAGGTTTATTGGGTGTGTAGAGAAAAGCCTTCATTTCGCACCCACACTGGTGGCAGGTGGAGCTGGCAGCTGTGCTGGAGCCGGGGTGGGGCGAGGGAGGTCTATTGAGGTCAGTTGTGTGTGTGGGGGGGGGAATCTTTCAGTGGGGGACAGGGCAGTGGCGTCTGGGCAAGTAGCATCTCACTGACGTGCAGACCGTTGCATGGGTCTTCAGGATCTCCCCTGTAGGAGATCTGGGAAGGCTCCCTGGAAGAGGTGACAGCCAGCAGAGCACTTCAGGGCAAGTGGAAGGAGGAGTAGGGTGAGGGCGTGAGGCTGAAGTGCTGTGTGACGCGCCAAGGCTGTCTCTGTTTGAGTCGCCCTGCCCAGCAAGGCTGGGGCTGACACATTTTGGGTCCATAGCGTTGGCACTGGTCTGGTGCATTTTGGACTCGGTGTGGAGAAGCTCCTAAGGCTCCAGAGCTGTGTGTAGGGCATGGGCATGCTTCCATCACCGGGGTGGTGGTTTCTCCAGGCAGAAGAGACCCAAGGAAAGGTCTGTGAGCCTGAGGTGGTAGTGGAGCTGTCCAGAACTTCTCAGAACCTGAAGGACACAGCACACCTGCCATGCCTTGGAGATGTGGTGCAAGATGCCCAGGCTGGTGTGAACTGGGGTGGAGGGGAGGCTCGTCCCATGGGATGTTTGGCTCTAGCCTCATCTAAGCTGGCCCAAGCCCTTAGCATCCTCTCTCTTGCTTTCTTATTGGGGCTTTGGTCCCTGGTGTGTTGGGCCCCTCTTAGGCCCTTCCTTGGGGTGGGGATGTTAAAGAGCCATTGTTGATGTCATTGACGCCCAGGTGAACTCACAGCTGGGTCTTGGTCCCTTTCTTCACTGTTCTCGGGAGCATGGGCGGCTGGGTGGTCGCAGCCAGGGACCTGTTCCGAAGTCTCTTCTCTTCTGTGCCATCCCTCATCTTCTCCTTTCTCCCTAGGATGGTCGAGTACTCTCTGGACCTACAGAACATCAACCTGTCAGCCATCCGCACTGTGCGTGTCCTGAGGCCCCTCAAAGCCATCAACCGTGTACCCAGTGAGTTGGTCCTCCCCGCCCACCTGTCACCGCCTGCCCAACTTGCCCCGTTTATCCAGTCAGAGAAGACAGATCAGTTCCTTCCTGGGCTGCATCCACGCTCATGGCGCTGGATAAAAGTCACTTTGCTCCCATTGAACTCATGGGCCAGCATGTGGGTTACACAGAGGTGCTGGGGGGTGGGAGGGTGGGTAGGTCTTGATGCCTCTGAGTCCACAGATAACTCAGATTTCAGCACTTGGGAAGTCCAACTCTCCTGGGATGAAAGGTTACCTGGGAGGCAGTCTTCGCAGGCTGTCAAAGGGGGCTTGTGTAAGAAAACAAAGTTATCAGAGCGAGGGAGAATGAGTTTAGTGCCTCACAGGGAAGCCAGTTCTGGCAGACTTAGAACTTGAAGCTGTCACCTACTCACCTACAGGACTATCCACTCCTTAGCCACCTGTGTTCCCACCCACCTGCCCACTTGTCTCTCCACCCACCTGTCCATCCACCCACCTTTAATTCATCCACTCACCCGTCTACACGCCTGTTTGTGCATCCATCCAGCCCCCCCTCATTTGTTCATGTGTCCATCTATTACTCGTTCACCCACCCATCCAGTCACCTGTTTATACATGTATTCTTGTAGCCATCCATCCATCCATCCATCCATCCATCCATCCACTCATCTATCCATCCATCATCCATCCATCCATCCATCCATCCATCCACTCATCCATCCATCCACTCATCCATCCATATCCATCATCCATCCATCCATCCACTCATCTATCCATCCATCCATCCATCCACCCATCCACCACCCCTCTATCCACTCTATCTATCTATCATCTATGTATTTATCACCTATCTATCATTCACCCATCTGCTCACTCACACACCCATCTACCCATTTACCTCACTGCTCCACCTACCCAGCTAGTTATCCATCCACCTATCCATCTGCCACATACCTACCTCTATACCTGTCCATTCATCTCATACCCCCCATGTATTGAGAAAATTGCCTTAGATCCACAAGCCCCAGCGTCCACTCTGCATTGCCCAGCCTGTATCCTCTTGATGTCTGAGCCTTAACATTCACCGAGGAAGGGATCTGGGCTATTCTTATTTGGGGGATGAAGAAACAGCCTCGAAGACACGGATCCCTCCTCAAGGATTCACTGCCAGAAAGTAGCAGATGTAAGATGGCTCCTCCACTGCCCTGTGTTTGGAGTGGGAAGACGTAGGGAAGGGAAAGAGGAGGACATAAGCTTGGGACTTTCAGATCTTTTTGGGGAGGCTAGGGCGCTGTTCCTTCTTTTCTTTCTCTCATGTGTATGTGCGCTTGGTGTGGATGTGTGTATGTGCATTTGCACGTGTGTGGGCACACACACATCATGTGTGTGTGTGTTTGCATACATGCCTGCATGCATGGAGGCCTGAGGCTGAGGTCAAGAATCTTCCTGGATCACTGTCTACCTTATTCTTTGAGGCACAGCTTCTTAATTGAACCCAGAGGTGCAGCGACTGTGGCTAGCCAGTTTGTGCTGCTTCTGCCTCCCGTGGGCTGGAATTACAGGCAGGCTGCTAGGATAACCTGATGTCTACTGGCTCCTGGGGATTAAAACTCCGGTCCTCACGCTTTCGAGGTGAGCATTTTACCCACTGAGCCATCTCCTCAGCCATCCAGTGCCTGGAACCGTGGAAGGAACCCCTGAAACACGTGTGAGCACATTGATCCGTCCTCCAGTGCAGGACCACAGAGCTGCTAAGGCACGGACAGGTGCAGCGAGGCTCAGGATGCAGGGCTCGGGAGAGCATCTGAGCTGAGACCCACGAAACCTGGGGATTAGCTGGCAGTGGGAAAGACCCACGGCGGGCGGGGCAAAGCAGAGCGGGGGTATGGCTGGAGCAAAAGTCCAGAAGCCACTAGCCTCTGACTGTTGCGATCTCAGGTACTGGCTGCTTCAGGGGCCAAATGAAAGATCAGGGAGTCAGGCTGATCCTGGAGGGGACTGGAGAGGTCAACAGGAGAGTGTCTCAGACATGGCCCTGGCAGGAGTGTGAGGTGAGCTGGTCATTGAGGGGTCTCCAGTGACTCAGGGAAGCAATGGCTAAGGCTGGGCAGGGCAGAGGGAGGGGGGAGGTACTCCTGAACCAGCCCAGGCCTGCGTGTCCTTAGCATTGGCTTTGAACCGCTAAGGGAGCGGCTCAACACTGAGAGCATAGAGCAGGGGCCCGTCTCTCCTGGCCCTGCCTGTAATGCATCTATTTCTGTTCTGGGGATGGCAGGGGTAGCCGCCTTCACTTACAGTCTTGTAAGCACAGAGTCTACAGGCCTGGTCACTTTGGAGGTGTGGGCAGGTCATCATCCACATGGGCTCCAGCAGGCCTGGGATCTGACCGCCATACAAAGGGACATTGGAGAATGGGAGAAGGCCCAGAGGGACGGGATAGACATAGGGTGTGGGTCTTTCTCTTGCTAGATGGTTTTCGGCCTCTGTGTGTAGAGAAGGAGATCTGTATGTATTCACAGGAGAACACATGTGCACCCGTGTGAGTGTATATGAATGTGCGTGTGCCTGGTGTTGGTCACTCATGGGAGCATGTGTGGAACCTGGCCACTCTGTCTCTCCAGGTTCCCCTGATCCCTGGCTGGCTGAGTACAGAGCTGGTTAAGTGGCTTTGGGACTGAACTGGCTACTCCCTGTTCCAAGCGCCAGCTTGCCTGTTCTCTGGGGGAAGGGCAGGGGTCAGTCTTGAGCCCAGCACCCCTGTGCTCTGGAAAGTTCCAATTATCGAGATTCTGTTGCATGGATAGCCAAGGGAGGCTCCAGGCCTTTCCTCAGGCCTTTCTAACAGCTAATGGACCCTGGGAACCCTCAGATGCCCTCTCAGCTGAAAGGCGCCTCTCTCAGAGCTTAGCATTGTGGAGAGGCTGAGAACGTGAGCCCCCAGGATCCAAAATTCCTTAGGATTGAGCCACGTTCCACAGAAAAGAACCTTAGGATAAACAATTCTTCCTCCTCCTCCTCTTCCTTTTTTCTTTTCTTTTCTTTTCTTTTCTTTTTTTTTTTTTTTGAGACAAGGCCTCTGTACATATCCCTAGCTGTCATGACACTCCCTATGTAGACCAGGTTGGTCTCGAACTCAGAGATCCACCTGCCTCTGCTTCCCAAGTGTTGGGATCAAACGTGTGCACCACCTCCGGGCTTAAACCCCAAGAGTACAGGACAGTTAGAAAATGGGGATCCCTGAATTCCAACAGCTCAGCCCTATTTTGTCCCTGGTTGTCCCATCTTCCTCTAGCAGTCACCATGTGATGAGTGACCCAAGAGGGGGCCTGGGCTTCTTAGCTGTGTCTGCCTTGGGATGTGTTCAACAGCAGCCTGCAGCTCTCCATTTTACCACTAGATGGCAAGCTAGAGAGCCAGCACTGGGTGGTCAAATTATCAGTGATTAATTGGGACATCAGGGAAGGGGGTTACCCGAGCCTTAAAAAAAGGCAGCGGAGGATAGAGTCTCAGCATGATCACCCAGAAAGACTCAACTGGACATCAGAGAGTGCAAGGCCTGTTCTACACTCTGCTACAACGTGGGCCTCAGTTTCCCTACCAGAACAGAGGGGCTGAACTAGTTGTATCAGGTAGGTAGGGGGGACCCAGAAGTCAGGGCTCTTGCTACAGAAAATTTCAAAGTATGTCCTTCCAGCCCACCCCTGCAGCTCTGCTCTTAGCTCCAGCCTTTGGCGGATAAAGGAAAGGAGACAGGAGGGAGGGAAGGTTGAGGAGAGAGGCCTGGGCTGAGTTCTGCTTCTTTACTGTGCAACCTCTTACCAGTCGCTGCTCTTCCCTGAGCCTTGGCATGATGGGACTGGGTTATCTGCAAGCCTGAGTCCCCCTCTGGGCCTGCCTCTGTCTGTACCTCCCCCAAGTCACCACAGTGTTTCCCTGAGCCCCGTTGCTTGAATCTTTTCAGAGTGGAAAAAAAAAATGCTTTTACCTCTAGTTAGAAACTTGAGCAGTCACCATGGAGCACGGAGCCAGCTCATGCTGCCTCTAGCTGTTGCACTCCAAGCTAGGCTGCTGGAAAGGTGTCTGCTTGGAGGACTTTGAGTGACCCCCGGGGCGCTGACCTGTGCTTGGCCTTAGAGTCACTGGCTCTGTCACAACTTACCAGCCCACAAGGGACCCTGGCTTGGCCTGGGCCGTCTATGCAGAATGAAGAAGGAGCTTCAAGATACCCGTGGATGGGGTGGGAGCCATGCGGCAGGGAGCTCCCAGCTCCAGGTCTCTGTCTACTGCACTGCCACCCCCAGCTCGCCCGGTTCAGCTCACCTGTGGCGGGATCCCAGCAAACCCTGTGCCCCCTGTCTTTGAATCCCCCACCTAGGAACTGCGGTTAATATCGCTACCCTCCATCCTGTTGTGTGGCTGGAATGGTATGGTGGGCTTGAAGAAAACGCCCCTCGGGATGTCAGGCGTGAGCAGTGATGGTCAGCTTCTGTGATAAGGAAGAGGGGACTTGGGGACATCTATGTGGAAGTCAGTCGTAGAAGAGCCCATCAAGGACTCAGAGGGCTCTGGGTGTAGGTGGAAAAAGATAATGGGGGCGGGGGGTGGCTCACATCTAGGCTTTAAGGAAAAGTGGCTGGAGTTTATCAAACACTTTGTCTGAGTCTCTCAAGGTCTCACAGGGCTATGCCACTCCATCTCCTAACAGACTATGGGATGTTAGGATTGTGTGACAGCCACTTTACAGGTGGGAAATTGGAGATGGGGTTCTGAGCTCTCTGCTGACTGAGGTGAGGTGTGGCAGTGGCAGTATAGGGGAGGTACCTGCCCTGGTACCCAGGTCTGCTTTGGCCCTTCCTATCCAGACACAGGCCCAGCTGGATCACTGTCAGGCCAGCTGTGCTGAGAAGGGACAAGAAGACCCAGGGTTCTTTCCTGGAAGGACCTAGGGAGTTTTATTTGGAATAGAGTCTGGTAGAAAGAGAAATTGTGGGACAGAGCTGA